TCTTATCTCTAGATGAAGAAACTGAAACGTACAAAAAATGAAAGCGTGGTTAGATCCTGAGAAGTGACAGTGCAAAAGGTTTAACTTTGTTTTCAACAGCTCTGCCCTAGGGCTGTGTTTAAGGTCAGCTCTACTTGTGCGAGTGACTGAACTCACTCATCACTGCTTTTTACTCCTGCTCAACCAGTGGAGTCAAGATAGGTTAGAGGTGGAGTTGGTGTGTTATTGTGAGTCTTCACAAGAGCCCAGATGCGTAGACCAGTGGTTGGGCTTTCCAGGCTGTGGGCAGGAATGACCCAGCTTGGGTCAGTGGCGGCTGGGCAGGCGCTAGGACTCAGCTGCTGCTGTCACCACTTCTCCCCACCATGTGATGAGGCAATGGTTTTCAAACTTCCTAATGTCGTGGAACCATTTCATATCACTTCTTCTACTACAGCACCCCCTTCCCCTATCCTAAAGTCTGATGCAGTCAGGCAACCTGGCCCAGCAATGCCAGTGCACTGCCTCCTGGCCTGCTCTACTATTACCCAAATATCCTTGCAGAACCCCTGAAGACCTATCATGGAACCCCAGGGCTCCACAAAACACAGCTTAGAAACCATTGGCACAGGGAAAGTAGTTGCCAGCAAAGCCACTCATCATCAAATGCCACCAAAGTCCCAAGTCTGTGGGATGATCCAATGGCTGCATGAGCCAGATATGGTCCACAGGCTGTAGGTAGGCAAACTACAACTGGGGTGCACCAGTGTCACTGAGGGCATCACTGGAACACAGAGGTTGCTCAGGCGACAGAAGAGGAGGGGTTGGTGTGGTTTCAGCTAAGCCTGTAGAAGATTTGCCACTGCTGGTGAAGTGCGAACAGGAAGGAGCCAAGAGCTGACTTTGTCGTTATTAATTTCTATTCCATTAGCACGAAGAGACTGGGCATGTTAAATAATAAATTCTCTTCCCTGACACTCCTCACCCCCTCCAGTCCCTCCAAAGTCTCTGTCTCAAAGACCTCGCACTCCACTCATGTGGTAACATGCAAAAGACAGATGTTCCATTTAAGTGAGAGGAGGCCAAAGTCAAAGGTGAAATGACCATGACAAGCTAGTCTATTTCAGCTGCCTAGGCATTGCTGGAAGTGCTTTAAGCTTCATAGTGTCAGCAAACATGAAGGAAGATATTGTGAGGGATTCAGGGGTTTCAGTGAGAAGTTCCTCCTAAGCAAGGATGGCAGTGTGGCTGATAGCAGGAAAGTGTGCAAGGAAGATCTGGACTAATAGGTAATATGGACATGGCAGGACTAGGGTAAGGGGCCTTAAAAGGACAACTTAGGCATCTGTATCCAATACAGTGGGAAAGATGTAGCAAGAAGAGAGAAAGTGGAGACGAAATCAGAAGAGACTGTAACCGGGAGGGAGGTCTTTAGCAGCAGCATTTGAAATGGGTATGGGGGCATATGATCTCAGCTCTATACCCATGTGTGCTGGGCTTGGGAGTTGGGGCAAAGCACAGCCTTTCTCTTGGAAGCATTCAATGTGGAAGTCCCTGGGAGAAAATCGGCAGGGGAACTTATGATAGAACCACATATTGAAGGTCCCTTGGACCTTCAGTGATACGCTGGGAGTGGAGCTGACTTCTGATCCAGTTGGATTCCAGGTCTAGGCATCAGAAGCACAATTAACTGTGTCAGCCACCCACCACAGGGCTGCTGAGTCTAGAACCCTCTTCCTTCCACAATAAAGAATAGGCTATGTCAGCTAAGGCACTTGCTGTACCTTAGGGTACTATTAGGTCCCTGATGGTGGATGGCAACTTCCTAGGTTCCTGCTGCTCTGCAATAATTTTCTTTATTTTCACAGGCCGAAGCTGGTTAACAATGCTGCCTGAGCAGCTAGACTGTGCTACCTCCTCAATCTATGTGGTAGATACCGTGAAGTAAATGCAGAAATGTTTTACAGATCCTGAAATCAAACCTGCTCCAATGCAGAGAGCTGGAGGAATTCATTATGAAAGGGTCTTGTCCCACCCAATATTTGTTAGAGCACTATAAGGGAGGTGTGGGGGGAGTGAAAGAGAGAGAGATCTGACTTCAAAGACTTGGAAAAGGAATGACAAAGGGAGAGGAAAGAAAGGTCAGAGAGACTGCAGGTCAGACCAAGAGAAGGTTGTGATTGTTCTGTACATACCCTAGTGGAGCAGACTCCTCAGCTTGCCAGGATCCAGGACTATGCAGCTTATTAAACAGTGGATCTGAAGTCACTAAAACAAACCCAACCCTGTCTGTAAGTTTATTTTAGGAACTCTTTCCTTCCTCTTAGCTATTATGTTTTTCTCACCCCTAACGGAAGGACTAGCATGATTTGCATATGAAAAAGGTTTAGACAATGACAGCTTCAAAAAAGGATGACCTGATATGAGTGTGATAATGTAATAGATATCACAGGCCAAAGTGAATCTTATCTCCCGTTTCCTTTCATTCTAGAACAGATTACTGCTCTTCCTGGCCGTACCACATCCAATCAATGGTTCAGTTTCTGTACCATTGAGATCCCTGCTTTAGCAGGTGACTGCACTCATTCATCTGATTTTGCATCTCATCTCTTGCCCTATGGAATTATTGACCAATCTAATCTTCTATCCCAGCTCCTGTCAAGCTAGTCTGTCTAATTTGGAACATCTCATCCAACAGAAGCACGTCAAACAAACCTTGAACACACCTCATTGAAAGGAAATTTCATCCCAAACTAGTTGATGATCAGATTTAATACAAAGCATGAAGACTGATAGCCTTGGCCACATTAATCTGAGGCTGGGATCATTGTTAGAACTGTGACATTGTAATTCTTTCTGATCCATGTTGTAGAGGGCAGGGCATGTGGCAGAAGGTTTAAACTGTAGCAAAACAGGTGTAGAACAAATCCGAGGGGAAAAAACTTAAGACAATGCAACAAGCTGCTGAGGGCAGTTGTGGAATTGCCTGGATGGACATCTCTCCAGGGTTGTTAAGAATCAGTGCATCCTACTTCTGTACAGGGTGTTGGAGTACATGACTCGTGAGCTCCTCTCACAACTGTATACATTCATGGAGGTGTCAAATCTTTAAGTGTATTCACTTAACTCAGTAATATCAGGCAGTGAGTCGTTATGCAGGTTTAATTGTCTGAATGAAGCAAGGTCTTATGAATGGCACTTCTGTCTGTCTATCTGTTCTGCCACACCCCATGTCTTGGTTAATCATGTGTGTCAAAGAACGTCAGACATGCAGTCCAGTTTCTAAGGAGGGGAAGCAGACCTGAAATCCTTGTTGAACTGACATGCAACCAATAATGGAGATGCTTGCAAAAATAATAATAAAGTAGCACAGCAACATTGTATTTGAGGAAGAATGTCTCTGGGATGCATATTTGACTCAGTTCAATGCTGTGTCCCAGGTAAATGACTGGGAAAGTAGAAAAAGACAGGGTTTCTATCAGCTATCTTAAGTGGGACAGCTCTGACAATGCTGTAGAATTTACCTACAGGAAGAAGACTGAGTTCTTAATGCAGCATTTCAAGGCCAACCATCAGCCTGAGCTAGCTGGTTGAGATCTAGAAGGGATCAAAAGAAAATCCCACCTGAACAGGTGGAAAATCTGTGGAGACTTGATTTGTTGGCATACTTGTATACCCATGAAGACTTCCAGGAAATGGATCACTTCTGGGCGCTTAGGTGATGTTAGACTTGGAGATCCAGAACAGGGAAGGGAGATGGGGTGAGAGACAGTGGAATTTGCCACACAACTCAAGCCATTCTCTGAAGCTGTGTCCCAGAAGAGGAAGCGATTGCTAGTGAGGAAGATGGAGGCTAATGGGCTTGGGCCTGCTTAAGTACAGGCTATGTCCAATCCATGTGGTGGGAAAAGAATTCCAGTCCTTTTAGATTCTAAAAGGGGATTCTTAACCTTTTAGACCCATCAGAAAAAGCAATGACTTTGGTCCATAAAACAAAGGGAAATTGGTAACAATGCAAACAATTAAGGGGTGCAGTACAGTGAAACGCTTGGACAAACCAGTGAAAACCATGGACAAAATGGCCACAGAAAGGAGAGCTGTTATGAGGGTATGCATAACTGTTTCATGCAAAAACTGCTTATTCACATTGGGAAATGTGAAAAGGCAAAGGCAAAAGGGCAAACTTAGAGGCGCAAGGATGAACCCTGAATATTGCATTTGGGTCTGGACAGTTAAGCAACATGAATAGGAAACTAGCTACTGAGTGTGTCGTAGGTGTTAAGAAATGTCTGGCAATAGTAGGCAAATTAAACCATGAAACAAGAGATCTGGTGCTGAACACTGTAACTGGTCTCAGAGGGAAAGGACTGCAGGCCACACACGTATGAAAAACTAGGAACGCTGGGTTTAAAACAGGACCTCTGAAACTCAGATCAAGAAAGAAGGAAGGCCAAGATAACACATAGACTAATAATCCATTGGATTTTCTTCTGGCTAATGCCTTTGTAGCAAATAACAGGAGTGCCCAGGGCCAGCCCGTCCTATCCTGTGAAACCTGCACCCCCCACCTCCCCCCGCTGTTAAAGCACCCCCACTGCCATTTTAAAGCATGGGATGCTGAATACACAGGATGCTGTGGGCGCTTTAATTAGAGTGGCTCTCGAATCCACTCTAATTAAAGTGCCCCACCCTCTACCCCAGAGCAAGCATGAAGATGCTCTTGGTTTGCAGCAAGCAAGCATCTTTCCCCCACAAGAAGGAACCACAGTACCAACTGCTATGGCAAGTTTCTAGGAAGGAAAGGGAGGGCTGAAACTTGCCTTGAGACCAAGGTCTGAGAAGAATCTGTTTATAAGCTCTGTTGTGTCAGAAACAGGAAGGGTCCCTAGTAATTTGTTGATTGTTTCTGTCAAGCAAGAAATAGTGAGAAAAGAAACCACAGTTGCAAAGCCATGAACCAGAGGCTTTACTAAAAGCTAGGGCAGAAAAAAGCAATAAGGGGGCAGAGTTGAAGAGCCATCTACCACTATGACTATTGTTCCAATACAGAGCAGTGTGTTCAAATGCGAGGCCCCAGAGTCACCACAGAGGCTTTATGGTTAGGAGTAGTTCTCCTTATCCAGCAAAGATACAGCTTGTACCATGCCAGTTCAGCACATCATGGATACTTGAGGATGTTAAGCAATGAAATGGCCACTTCTCTGTTTTCCAAGAGCAAAGAGGCGACACAGAGGGAGCATCCAGATAAGTACAGACGTTTGGTATGCGGCGCCGCAAATCCTTCTGTGGTGCTGCATGCTGCACACACTCCACACACACAGGCATTCCCCATGCTGCTAATTTGCAATGCAAGGGGGATCCCAGTGTCAAAAAACCCATGCCTCAAAAAAGCCGTTGGGTGCACATGATGGCAGCATGTACTGCTGGAAACCAGAGTCTGGTTGGCCGTAGCCACGTTCTGGCTGCTGGCCAGACTTCATGCTGCTGGATTGCTGTGGCCGCAGCCCCTGGAGACCCTCAGAACCCCAGGTAAGGGTGCTGGCCCCAGCCCCCCCTGCCCAACTCGTGGCAACAGGCCCTGCACCAGCGCCCGAGTGCATGGGTGTTCCCTGGGGACAAGCAGCAGTGGCACATATTGTGTTACTGTTTGTCCCCGGGGAAACGCACCTTCCTGCTCATGAGGATTCATGCACAGAGATGTCTTACACACCATTGAAAAAAGGCATCGGGGGGCACAGTTGAGCCTTCAAGTAGTCCTTAGCCTCCCTGGCGTTCCATATAAAATGAAAGACGCTTGCCCTGGATTCTGAAAGAATGATAGAAAGCAAAATTAAATTGTCTTAAATCAAGGGCCAGTAACTTTTTTCAAACTATGGGCCAGAACAATCTGGCTCCAGTCCAATGCAGGCCAGGTGACTTTGGGCAGGGGATGGTAGGGGAGCTTTCCCTGTGTCCCTGCTGGAGTTACACAACTCAGAACTGTTGGATGTTGCCAACTTCTGCTTTAAAAATTCTGATCCTTTAGCACAAGTAGAAGGTGCATACTGTGCATATCCTACATATTGTGGCAGGTTCGAGATGGTTTTCCAGACTGAAATCTTTAAAGGGGGTATTGCCAAAGGGAAGTGGGTCTGCAGGACAGGGAAAAGACAGCTTCCACAGCTGGACAGAAGCCTGGGGTAATTTTTCTTGAAGGTTTTCAGCTGCAAAAAGGTATCTTCCACGTTTGGGAGGTAAATGGAGAGGGTGTTGCATGGCATGCTACTCCCAGCCTGTCAGCTCTTACCTAAAGGAAACCGTGGTGCTTAATACCTTTGAACAGGATTGGATACATTTGCAATTGGTCTGTGACAAAATGAAGGCATCCAGTCTGGAATGGAACCCAAAGTGAACGTGAGTTGTCCCCCCAAGAAAAGGTATGTTTACCTGGAGCACACAAGGAAGGAGGAAGAAATTCCCACTGACCAAAAGAAATCAGGGACTGTGTGGAATTGGCCAGTGGTTCAGAGACCTGCAAATATGCAACATTTTATGGGGCTCTGCTTCTCTCCCAGAAAGCTTATGAATTTATCAGGGTTATAGAACTCTTGCATAGAAAAGGGAAACCATATCATCATTCAGAAGCATAACCTACCTTTTGCAGAGTTGCATGCAGAGCTCTTGTATCTGCTCCATTATCTCTTAGATGGAGACTGCTTTTTGCAGAGTCAAAAAGAAGGGATCCAAGAACACAAAAGAATGGAGAGGGCACTGGTTTCTTCCTGCAGACATCTGAGCTCCCTGGAAATGATTGTACCTCCTGGCAGTGGTTATGTTGCCCTGTAGGGTCAGGCCAACTCTCAGGATCTCAATACTGCGCTGTTAGACAGGAGGGTGTGACACAATTGCACATATACAAACACACAAATCAATTAGGTACATACACACACACACTACCAACTCAGGCACATACACATCCAAACCAGCCTAGGCACATGCATACCTATCACCAATTCAAGCACATACACTATACACCCCAAAAGTTAGACACAGATCACTAATTTGTATATCATACACACAATGACATATATATATATATATATATACACACACTCTCCAGTTCACACACATACAACCCACCTACACATACACACAGGTAAGTTCCTAACTTGGGTGGTACAGTGTGTATGTGTGTGCTTGGGGTACCTGGGGGAAGGTTAAGGTGAGAGAGAGAGAGTTAAAGTGTAGGGCATGAAAGTTGCCAGAACCAGGATTAGAACCAGTGGACTAGAGAGAAGTTGACTGTGGAACTGAGGCTTGGGTTTACTTAAGATCAAGTGGCCCCACGGTTACCCAAGGTCACTGGTGCATGGGAGGGAAAAAAAAAGAAAAAAAAGAAGAAGCCTGGTGGCAAGGAGGAGACAGCCAGGAAAGAGAGAGAGACAGAAAACTGGGAGCTTGGGGCTGGAAACTGAGGCAGACAGC